CTTCATATTCACATCATTCTAAATCAATTCTTGCATATAGGTTCTAGCCCTAGATAATTACTAGTCAAAGAATAATTTTAGAAGTTCACCTTGACCTTCAATTTCACCATCCATGGTAATAACCCACATAAATCATCTTCATCAATTAGACTGAGGTAATCATGGAAATCATATAAATTCATCATAATATCATGAATTAACACTAAATTAATCATACATAAGTATTATCCAACCAATTGGAGTAGTACCCAACTAAACCCACTCATTGGAAGAAACCCTAGCTTAGATTGGGGTTCTTCTTCACAAATTTGGGGAAATTCTAGGGGACTCTATGGGTGGAAGAACCCATATATGAAAATCTAACATACCTTAATCAAATCCCTAGAACAAGCCTTCAACAATGGAGCCTTTGATCTTGGCCTTAGCTTCAAGCCCTAGCTTGTTCTTCAATGGAGGTCTTTCTAGAGAGAGAAATATTTCAGAGAGGAGTGATTTGGGTTTTTGATTCTAAATGACTTAGGTGGGATTTTTAATGACTTAAAAAACTTTATATTGGTGAATAAAAATCATATAAAACAACCCTATTAATTAACTAAACATTTTGGAAATTACAAAATACCCCTCAACTAGGCAGACCCTTGCCAGGGGTCACGCCCCTCTTCACAAGCCGTCAGGGCACCACGTCCCATGGTGGTGCCCGTGGTCCCATGACCAGTGGCTCCCCTCAACTTTCCAAGCTCCTACATGCTAAGGCATGACCACGAGACCTCCCACGATCCGTGGACAAGCCAACGGGTCGTGGTGATGGTCGTAGTCCCTTAGGCAGTAGCTAGGCCTAAGGACCTTGCCTCCTATGACTCTAAGGGGTCTTCACTGACCGTGGTCAAGACCACTGGTCGTGATGGTGGTCATGAACAAGGTTCCGTACTTGGCTGGCTTCCCTCCTCCTAAGGCATCTTCACGAGCCTTCCCACGATCCGTGGTCAAGACCACGAGTCGTGAAGTGGCTCGTGGAGGTAAGCCACATTAAGGCAGCCCTTAGGGAGCTACTGCCTTGGTCTCACGAACCACACCACGAGCCGTGGTAGTGGTCGTGGACTTGAGGGAATGTGCTTCCAAGCTTGGGAAGCCTTGGCCTTGGCTTGGGCCTTGCCCCCTTGGCCTTGGCTCTTACCCCTTGCATTGTCCCTCACTAAGCCTTAGATGGTCTACTAGTTTACGGGGTGTAAGACGTTCCTTGACGTTCAACCCCTAAACCTCTCATTCTAAGTACGGGAAGTCTCATCTACGACTCTAATTCACATACATCAAACTATAGAACCCTAGCCTAAGGCCCTAGTTTAGTCTACTAGTTTCCGGGGTGTTACACAAATATTTCTAAAAAAATTCAAGTAAAAGCTATCAAATATCTTTTTGTTGAAAGTTTGAACTAAAATCATCACCAATTCAGATATTGTATTACTATTAAGAGATTTGAATTTATGAAATAAGTATTTGATATGTCAATACTGCAAACACTCCAATTAATGTTAACTTTACATTTCAGAAGAATGAAGGTGAAAGTGACTCACAATTGAATTATGCAAGAACGTTGAAAAGTTTGATGTATATCATAAACATTACGTAATCAAATATAGCATGTGTTATAAGCAAATTCAATCGGTTCACAAGTAATTTCAATCAAGCTCACTAGATGTCAATGAAATTAGTTTTGGGGTATCTTAAACATACACAAGACTTTGCATTATACCAACTATCCCATCATGATTGAAGAATATAGTGATGCAAATTGGATCATCGGATCAAATGAAGTAAATTCATGAGTGAGTATATATTTATCCTTAGTGGAGGACCAATCTCTTGGATATCATCCAAACAGACATGTATCACTTTCACTACAATAGAATCTGAATTTATTGCTTTAGATAAGACCGATGAAGAAGATGAAGGGATCCGAAATTTCTTAGAAGATATCCTATTCTGACCCAAACTTTAGGATCTATATGCATTTATTATGATAGTCAATGAGTAATAGATAGGGCAAGGAACGTTATGTACAACGAAGAAGATATAATACCTTGAGACAACTACTCTCTAGTAGAATTATCACTATTGACTATGTAAATTCTAGAGATAATATGTCGGATCCACTTATAAAAGGCCTAGCTAGAGGAACAGTTGAAATATGATATAAACAAATGAGTTTAAGACTTAGGTCAAGTCATCATGACGGTAATTCTACCTAGCAAACTGGATCCCAAGTTATTTGACAATGTCAAATCAGTAGGTGTTCATGGCTGAAACGAACACAACTGTAAGCACCATAGATGTTAAATGATTGAACATGCTGCATGTGTTTTTCTAGGTATATATCAAAATTTGACGGTTCAAGAATATCAAATCTATAGATAGACCTAGTATATCCTGTTGAAAAAATGATTCTAGTATCTCAAAAAGAAATGTTCATATTATTTTCTACATTCATCATCTTAAATGGGTGTTAATATTCTATTAATTATCTTACAGATCAATTTTAAAGTTGGTCAAAATGTGGCAGTTGCCAACGTCTTTTTCCTCTTAACTGGCCTTCAAATCTTTTGCCCTTATTCCTAATTATTGACATTAATTCCTTTTTGTAACCGTTGGAGGATTTAGCCTTATGTATGTTTCCATATAAATGTGATCTTCCTCTATCACAAGGTGGTAGGAAAATATACATTTTGAGAGTAAATCTTTCCTCCTATATTTTATTGGTGTGCTGGGTTTTGTTCTTTAAATCTTTGTTAGTTTCTGGCTCCTAGTTTTATAGTAGAACAGCTTGTTGAATCTTGGGGGATACACCCATACCGGGTGAAATATCCTTAAGGACAGTGTCTTTCAACACGCCTCAAGCTATGAGAACTTCCTATGAGAGTTATTGGTGAAGTACAAGCTTTGGTGAATCTGGTACAAGTGTTTGTGATGAAGGTATTTTCCGTAAAATTTACAACAATCTTAAGGATATTTTCAAACTTTTTTCTTGCGGAATACTAATTACTACAATAATAGAGTATTTTTACGGTTAAAAGGAAAGAGTAGATATGAAAAGGTTTGATGGGGTCAAGCTATTAGTCCAAGCTTTGCTGGCTAGGGAATAAACTGAAGTTTGGTAATTTATGGTTGAAAGTCTAATTGTATATCGGGACAACTACTGTGGAAGCGTGGTTGGAATAATTATCGTTGTTACGGTAGTTGATATTAGCAGAAAAATCAACATTCTATTGGAGGTAATTTTGTATCATTGGTGTTCCATTCCAACATGTTCATGCTAATAAGGTATGTAATGATACTATGTGTATATATTTTTAATGATTATTATTTGTGTGTGGTGAAATAAATCTGCATGCTCCCTATGTGAAGAAGATTCGGAGAAATGATAATCCCGCTAAGTAAAAATAAATGTGACTAAGGGAATGATGTAAATTATTGTGGTCATTTCTTAAGCGAATCTTGTGACTAATATGTGAAAGTGAGAAATTGGGTGTTAGATTTTTGTATTGTTGAGTACATTTATGCTAAATAAAATTATTTTGTGCTCCCATATTAGAAAAGAAGAAAAAATTTATATATGTTGGTGATTCTAGAACTACTCAAGTTTTTGAAATGGAAAAGCTCTTCTTCTTAAACTCACATGTGAAAATATTGACATTATTTGAGATGGTACATGATTTTAATATTTGTGCTAGATTGGAACTAGGGATTTTATGAGGAAAAGTTGATTATTGTAAATTTGTGAAAAGATTTAATGAATGACTTATTTTAATTTGACAATGTGTTTATGAATGTTGTTAGGACAATGAGTAATTTATGCTTGACTGATTGAGATAATTCTTGATGTGTTAGACTTCTAATCTATTTAGTTTAATATTATATATGAGTTTCTGTATGATAATTATTCAATAGAATTCTTACATTACATTGTGAAATTCTATAACAGACTGTTGAATAGTGATTCAAATTTGATAGTTACTATTGTTTTAAGTGGTATTGAGTGACTCCTACATAGTTTTAATAATTGACATTTGTCACATTAATTATCAGAACGTTAAAAATAAAATATTTTGATAAATATTGATTAAGAAGCTCATCCATTTTGTTGAACTAGTCAGGGACACGTGCGTTGCACGTGTGAGCCATGTTAAGGTGTATCATTCTCTGTGGAGAGACATTTGTAAAGCAGTGTTGTCATGAGTGTGTGCATTATTATTGATGTAGTAGAAGCGTACATTGTGTTAATTAGTCTTCTGATGATTGCATGAGATATTAGTAGGAACGGCGACATGAAGTTAATATGAAGAGTCAAAAGAGAAGTTTGGAAGTAATGTAAATTATTATTAATAATAATAATATTAAGACATTAGAACGGAATACAATATCAAGAAATCTCATAATAGTACTGAAAGAACTATTCCGAATATGATATTAACACATTGAAGAGTATGGGTCGCTGAAGAATCCATTATGTTTGCATAGGTGTGTCTTCTAAACCTGAGATTTGAAGCAATGTAATGTTGTTAGTATGCAGGACCTGTAAATAGTTAATTATCCGTGTTAGAATGGCAATATATGTATATGGAGTTATCGTACCTAAAACTTCCTTATAGACGATGTTCTTTGTGTATGTTCCATTTTGACGTTTGGGTTGCTCTGTTAGGACAAGTACTTTTGTTGTGGACATAGATATCCCTCTTGAGAGATACAATTGACCATGTGAGAAAACATGTTGGGGCAAATACAAACCAACATTTTGAATTGTTTGACCTTGGGCTTTATTTATAGTCATTGCAAAGCAAAGGCGTACCGGGAATTGCTTTCGAATGAATTTAAACGGGTATCCTTCATTTTCTGGTGGTGATAATTGAATTCTAGGAAGAAACACATGGTTTGTTGCAGAATGACCACTTGATATTTCCGCTTGCAGGACATTTTGGGAGAAGCCTCGACATATCATTCGTGTTCCATTGCATAAGCCACTTGAAGGGTCTAAATTCCTTAGCAACATGATGGGTGCATTTTCCTTCAATTCTAACCTGCATTTAATAAGATATGTCAAAATCTATCCATTTTGATATTTGTTACCGCCTTTTCATGATTGTAACTTGTAATGTATGATCATCAGTACCTATGTGGCGGGAGACCGTTTGGTGTTAAAGTATTTAGATATTCTTCTTGGTAATAGTTGTTGGTGTCATCTTCTGCTGAGTCAAATCTATTGAATATCTTGCTTTCACCTGGGAACATGGCTATTAACTTGTCATTTAGTTTATCCACATGGTCATTTCTACTTGCTAAAATAGCTCTTTCAGTGACATATTTTGCCGTAGCAGCATTTTCTTGCATGTTTGGAAATATCTCTTTTATTATGGATTCTTCTGGAAATCCATCCCGAGAATGCTTGACAATTAACTGTTCAGGCAGAAGGATTAAATTGTCTCTTATTGTTGGTTCATCTCCGTTACCCACGCGAAGTAAGAACTCACTGAATGTTGGATCTGTTCTTGCTCTCATATTTCTTGTAAATTGAATCTTCTCCATCAAAGGCCAGAGATACGATTTCACCAAGCTTGCATTTACAATTTCCGCTCTAGTTGATTTTGGAACTACTGGTAACACCTGTCGAAAATCTCCTCCAAAAACCATGACTTTTCCACCAAATGGTATATCGATGTCCATTATATCTCTAAAGCTCCTGTCGACTGTTTCTATTGTTTGTCGTTTGGCCATTGGTGCTTCATCCCATATAATCATTTTTGCTTTTCTAATCAATTTGGCAGCACCACTTTGCTTTGACATGTTTGTCATAGTTGATTCATTTGTTTGAAGGGGGATCTCAAACCTCGAGTGTGCTGTACGTCCTCCTGGTAAGATTGAAGCTGCTACGCCACTGGTTGCTGTTGCCAAACCTATCATACCTCTTGATCTAACATTGGCAAGCAATGCACGGTATAAGTATGTTTTCCCAGTTCCCCCAGGTCCATCCACAAAGAATATTCCAGTTGTTCCAGCATCGATTATTTGCATTATTTTAGTAAAAGCATGATGTTGTTCTGGATTTAATTGTGATAGTGCCTCAAAATCTTCTGTAGGTATCTGCACATACATTTCTTCATTTATTTCTCTACTTTCTGATGGACCAACTTCGAGCAAATCTTGATCTAGTTGAGGAATGTCATATATGGCTATGCTCTTGCCCATACTTTGCAAACAATTATTAATACTATTTAGGGTAGACTATAATATAGTATTGTGTGAGTTGCCATGTAGCCTGTTGAAATCCTCAGACATATCCTCATAATAAGTATCCCAAAGTTTTCTAATATCCGTTGGGTTACAATGAACCAAAATTGTAGCAAACAAACTTCGGAGAGCTGATGGCATTTTGAAGACAACAGCCTCACTTAAACATTCTGATATGCTGTTGTCAGACTCGAGTAACCCTCTTTCTTTGGTTGCTTCTTTGAAGGTCTGACATTGTTTGCCGTTGACCGTGAGTAAGTCATTGAATGACAATGGTCCTCTTACCTGGTTTAGTAATAACCGCTCATAATACCTTTCCCCTTCTCGAGGATTAGCTGTACAAAATAATCAATATGTACTAATTAATAAGTTTAACAATTATCGATGTGTATGAAGTTATAGTTTACTACATTTGGCTTACCAATTGCAATGCGACCGATTACAGATCTTGTTTTTCTTTTCGTCCAAGTCTTTACCTTTGAATTCCAAACATAATACTTTGGGAATTCTCTATAAAGGTATGCTTGTGCTTCAGTGTCAATTGAGCACATTCTGAAATACTCGGTCAACATTGTCTGCTTGACACCATTCCAGGCAATGACATTTTGTAAATTTTGATTTTTCCAGTAAAACACTGTGAGCTTGTTTAGAGTTAGTTTTTGAATTTTGACTATTATAATTATTCGTAAAAGAAAGTGTTTATTATTATGCATTAATATGTGTACCTGAATGTTTTCCTGGAAGATGTAGTTGAAGGTTGATGACTGCAGGTTGCATTTCAGTCAAGTTGAATTCATATATTCTCCATAGTGCTTCAGGCGGTGAGACCCACCGCGCATCTTGGAATGTTTGTATTTCATCAATAACATTTTCACCATCATCAGATTGAACATAAACGGCACACCGATCATGACCTTTATATATATACTTGTATAGATACTTTATTGCTTTGACTCCTAAGCAGACCTCAACATTAATGTGACAATTGTATCTTGTAAGCAGATAAGGGCTATAAGGTACCACCCATTGATTAGTCATATTCATTCCACGAACAGTCTCTATTCTTCCATCCATTCTTCTTTTGTAAATTGGATATCCATCATTTGCTTGTATTGATTTGTTGTTGTATGGCCTAGGATAATGATATTTACACTGTCCATTTTGCATGCATGTGTTTGATGGACGTTTGTTTCCACATGGACCATGCATCATATGTCTGAGCACCAATTTATGCAAGATAGGATACTCACATTTATTTGGAATCTCTGCTGAGATAAACCTATCGTACTGATCTCCTGATTTGATCTTGTGCCCTTCTTTTAATATGAGAAGGAGGTGTAGTGTGGTAGTCCCCGTTTTTGGAATTCTACCACGAATACATGAGCAACAACAATTCCAAATATTTCTTTCTTAAAAATTTGGCCTTTTATATCTTGCAACTTAGCTCTGAATACTCTTGTCACCAAGTCAGGTCTATCTTGAGGAGTCTGTCCGGGGCGCAGTTCTTGTTGGATTTCTATCCAGTCAGGATTACACGTCATTGTTATAAACAGATCTGGCCTTCCAAAATGTTGCACCAAAGCCATTGCATCCATATATCGTTTTTTCATATCTCGTGGGCCCCCAATAAAAGATGATGGAAGTAGTATTCTTTGCCCAATTCTATCTCCCCTGCATTCTCCAGCGCTGACACTATCAACGATACCTTGATAAACCTCTCTTCTAAAATTTGATTGTTCCTTTCTGAAATATTCTAGCCTTGTTGTTTCCAATTTTATGTACATGTCAACCACAAATTGTTGTAGTAATCTTCCACATAGTAGTAATACTGACCTCTCTGTTTCTCGTAGTTGTAGCTTATAACAATAGTACTCTCTGCAAGAAACATTTCCCTTTGTCTCGCGGCGGACATCTACAAGTGGAAGAAATAATATTAATATTATTTTTATTTAATGCTAGTTAGCATATTGGTATAATAGAAAAATGTATTTTATGATAATTGTATTTTGTACGTCATTGGTAGTAGTATTTTATATGGTGTATGTTTTTTTTTATCAGTAGCTAACTTGTGAAGATCGTGACTAAATTTTTACTATAAAAGGGCAGAAGGTGATACATTTTACCTTGATCCTCGTTGGCTAATATTGCATCAGCTGATATGAATGCTGGAATAGCATGTGACTATTTTTTTACTATAAGAGGGCAGAAGGTGATATATTTTACCTTGATCCTCGTTGGCTAATATTGCATCAGCTGATATGAATGTTGGAATATCATTGGTTATAATTGGGGAGTGAGCACTTCTTCTGTGAGGTAGTCTTTTGCTTTGTTTTCTTATTCCTTGATGCCATCCGCCTTCACCTCTTGGGAATAGCAAAGGATATTGAAGAGGGTCATAACAACCAAAATAGTGTTTTACTCTATGCTTGTACCCTGAATGCTCATGAACAATTATTTCTCGATCAAAAGATGTATTTGGATTGTTTCCATCGATCCAAATTGCTGCTACTTGACTTACCGAGGGTGTGTTGTACACTCGTTGATCCAAAGAGGCATTTGCAGCAATACGAAGTTGGAAATTGTGGAAACTTAATTGGTCTTTTTAATTGGCGAAAAATTTGTGCATATGGGTTACCATCCATTACCTGTTTGATCTTTTTTGCAATTTGGTCTGAAAGAATGCCTTCATTCACCTTTGATAATCTGTTGGTCAACTCGTTGTCTGTATCAAAGAAGTATAGTTGGAAGTAACAGGGATTGTTATCACGCGGTACCAATGATGGTAGATCGTGATAAATTTGACCTTGTGCCCTGAATGTGTACACTCCTTTTCTTGCAGATGCTAATTCCTTATCCAGGTTAACACCAAAAGATGTAAAAGCAAAGATGCTATTATATGCACGAATATTTTTGCGAAACTCTACGGCGTCTGGAGTAGATGCCACAAACATTTCGTATAGTTCTGTTGGAGCTTCAGTGGTTGCCAATTTAATATATCCGCTTGCACAACAGAATGCTGGAGGTTCATGTTCCAATCTTTTTGCAGCACAATAAATGCATTCTGGGATGGTTTTTAACACGTGCAGATATGATAAAGATAAGTTGTAAGCAACAGTTCCTACATATATAAATATGGGTAGAGATATATGTTAAGAATCTAATTTCATAAAAGTATTGAATGATGAAGTCATGTAAGATATGAATAGGGTTTTTTCAATGTACCTCCAGCTTCAGACTCTTCAGATAATGCTCTAAATAGCCAATTAATTTTAGGTTGTTTTTTCAAACGTGGATGTTCATCTTCTAGATGTGTTGTTGTTTGGGTTGCTAATATATATTTGTCCACTTTTCGCAATGCGCTTCGCAATTGACTTTTCTCTATAAGAGCAACAATTTTTGTACATTTAGACAAACCATGTAATAATTATGTATTATGTATGGAAATATGTTCGCGTTGTACAGACTACTCATGTATGTAGAATTTAACATGATTATGTAAGTTCTTACCTGTGTTGCTCAATTCATTTTTTGTGTGGTTGTCATACTGATCAAATTTACTGGTAGGAGGAATGCTTTTTCCTTTATCACCTGTTGGATTTGGCATGACAAGACAATAGTTTGCAATGGTTATTACAATAAGATAAAGTGAGTACTATATTTAGTATATACATGAAAAGAGATTTTCAAAACATTAATTTGTGAAAATCAAATGTAATTGTAAGTTACTTAAGTACTGTGTTTTAGAGATAGAGAAGTCACACATTGTTGAGCGGTGGATTTTGTTGGGGTGTTGTCCGAGATCTGGCATGTATAGTGTGTCTGATCTATTGTTGTTTTGGCCTGCTGATCAACATTACGTCTAGAAGCAATGGAGTTACCTTTATCACCTGTGAAGTGAATTGAATAGAAGGGTTATATTTTATTTTGAACTATGATAACTACTTAGCATACTACATTTACCTTGATGTTGGTTGTGTGTCATTGTTGATTTGATGGGGACAAATTTCGGATTGTTGGTGTGACACTTCTGTTGTCTTGTCCGATCTAGCATATGTAATTTTCCAGTGATCTAGAACATAACGGAATCATTAATGGTAATTGAAGTCATTAATTTGGCATATATAGGTAATAGAGACCTATTATTCTGAATTGTTCTTTTTTCTCTGTATATATAGCTAAGAAATACATAGAGGGTAGGATGCATGCATACCTTTTTATTTGTATGAGGATACAGATTGCTGCCGAAGATTGTTGTTGATTTGTTTTGAAGTACTAAATTGCATACATTGAATGTTTAGTGAAGCAGTTAACCAAATTCATTGATGTAGGAGAAAGTAAGTTACAAATAAAAGCGATTTTAGGTGTAGTTGCTCGGTGGAAAAAGGAAAGTAGGTTTTAAATATTAGTATTATGGAGATAATAAGCATTGTTAGTTAAATTGAAGGAAATTTAAAATGAACTATATATTAGTTTTTTTCCTCTTTGATCTTCTTTTCCATCGGATATGGCATGAAGTTTTTTCCTTTAACCTTCCTGGTCCTTTTTCTTTGTAGTTGAATTAGTGGGGTTTCGTCGTCACTTTCATCTGGTACATTCTGCCTTTCAACCTTATGTGTCCTCACTTTCTGTGGATTTTCATCTGCTATGGCTTCCTTAATTTTCTTGGTCCTCTTGCATCTATTTGTTTTTTGTGGGCTTTCAATGTCAGTTTCAACTGCTGCAATATCTTTTTCAACATGAGGTATGTCTGCAACTATTTCTTTCATTTTTTCATTATCAGTTAGTTTTTTCATCCTCTTGCTTCTTTGTTTTGTAATCGGAGTTTGAACCTTGGTTTGATCTGCTGCATCTTTTTTTGGAACCTCATGTATCTCCATAGCTATCACATTCATGTTTGGCTCAACATTTGGAAAGTTACGATCAATCTTCACAAGGATACTGAATTCTTTCCCCTTACTCAATACCAACTTACGATAGTATTCTGATTCTTCTTTCTGTGGAATAGGAAGCTGTATATATTAGTCTTTCAGTTAAAATAGGTTAACGTTATTTATATAGGCTAATATTTCATAGAGTAAGTGATTTACCTTTTCAGATGTAGAGAGAACATAGTCTTTTACGTCACAACCCAAAAAGTATTTTGCAGCATCAAACAATGTAATCCTTAGAAATTGATCCTCATCAGTGACATCAATCTTTAACCGATATCTAAAACAAATTGGAAGATTTAATCAGTATGACACTAATTATTTGATAGTGATATAGTAAACTCATTTCAATAGTTAATCATTAATTTTTCATGTATCTGGTGGAGTAAGCAATATTTGTTGTTTGTTTGTGAAGTTTACCTCGCCTCATAATCAATATTTTCTGTCCTACAGTAGGTACAAGTTGCATTACTATTTATAACAGTAACTCGTCTGTAGCATCTCTTGCAAGCATGATACCATGGGTCGATGTTAATGTCAATGCCGGAAACCGTAGCATTGAACTTATAGTACATGTCCTATACGTAAATTAGGTAAATCACTTAATTACATTTGAAACATATAATTTGAGTACAAGATGGTTGTTGTATAGGAAAGTACCTTCACAATGGCAAGTGAACCATTTAAAATATTAGTAATTTTCACTTGGCGGGTTGTTTGCATTAGTCTGCTTGGCATTAGACTTAAGTCAATCTTTTGTGCCTTCATGTTGTCATTCCTAGGATTTTTAAGTAATGGGAAAAAAAAACATTAATGACGTAGCATGTGGGTAGTGTCCGAATAAGTGTGATGAAACATGTATTACTTACCATTCTTGGAGATTGTTCGCTTTTTGAAATTGTGGATTTATTAGCAAACTACTAACAGGAGTGGTGGAAAGGACAAAATCCCCTATTTTGACAGGAGTAATTAATTCAGTGATACTTTTATGTAGTTTGAAACTTGACTCAAATATATCAAGTGTGGAGATTTATACCTTGGTAAATGGATGATTTTACATCACAAAAGGCAAGCACTGGTTTGTCACTTTCAAGGCTCTGTAACATTTGACCTTCGATTTGAGCGAAGTCTCCCCATAAAGTCATGACTTTTCGATCATACCTATATATGTAACAAAGAATATTTTTATGATAAATGTTTATTAAAGTGAAATATTTATATGTAGGATGGCTAGAAAGTATATGTTACCTTTCGTTTGTAACGATTACTTCGCGTCTAATGCTTCGTCCTTCTCCAGTTAGTGCTTTTACTGTGAGTAAAATACAGACCACATCTAAACAAAACAATGTGTTACAAAATACTGATTTTGTTATTGTATGGAACAAACACCAAACATTTAGTGAAATTTACCGAACAAACTCCCATTAGTGATTTTTTCAGCTTCATCAAATGAAATAAATCCATTCGAAAATTGTTCAGTCTTAAATTGGCTTTTGTCCTCTACGACATCTGTGTTGTTCATAAATGCTAGTTCGAGGTCCTTATGCACAGATAAGAAGTTTGGTTTAGCTCCATTTAATTTTCCATTTATAATGTAGTAACTTTGATTAAGTTGAAAAGACTTGTTCCATGCATGAACATCTTTGTTGAAAAGAGTCGTTTGTATTTTTGTACCCTGTGGTAAGGACCATAATCATTACAATGGCAAAAGAAGTCAACATATTAAGTAATGAATATAATAAAATATTAAAATAGAGTTACCTCTTTGTCGACTAATATCAGTTGCCAACGAATACCCTCACCGTTTGCATTTTTATACTCTTTTGTTAAACTCCGTCGAATGACTAAGACTTTAATCACCCATTCTGTTGCATATTTCTTCAACTTACTAATTGGTAGGCACTGGTTCTCGAGCTCTTCCAGACTTGTCATTGTATTGTTGTAGTAGCTAGGATGTACTACTACAATATATATTTGTGACGTAGATGCTATTTATTTTTCTATAATTAGTGTTCTTTTGGTCTAACAATAAAGATGCTTAAGAATATAATATTCACCAAGCATAAACTAATTCTTCTTTTTTAATTTTAAAACCGAGCAACTACAACTAACAATAGTATAAATATCAAAGTAATTGAAGCAAGTTAATCCAAGGTGGAGAAATGTTACCAATTTTGGTGTTGCCGAAAGGAAGAAACCTGTTAAAAGTAGTAGAACATGAAGAGATAATAAACGTAATTTCAAACAGAAGGAAATCAATAAAAATGTAACAAATTATTATAACGGAAGTATTGCAAACGTATCGGCCTCAAAACGGAAGAGTCCTTGGTGGACAATCTATTGGCATATAACGGAAGTATTTCAAACGTTTCGACCTCAAAATGGAAGAGTCCTTGGTGGACAATCTATTGGCATATTATGGCAATAGCTTTATTTTGTAACAGCTTAACTGGACGCGAATGCTATATTTTCTACTACAGCATATATCAGCAGCAGTATAGCTAATAGTAGTTTATTTAATTAGAGATTTGGAGATTATGTATTTCTTAATGTAAGGTATAGATTTGTTGTGTGAAAATAATATCTTCTTTGAATTCTGTATGTTTCTATTTTTTGGACAGAATTATGGGTTACTAAGAATGCCTGAAGGCTAAATTCCCTATATAGTTTAATTGTTCTGTTAATAAAGGAGTCTTTGTTGCTGATTTTCACTCAAACTCAGGTTGGCAATTAAATTTCCGAGGAAGCTAAATGTTTGGGAGGTATAGGATTTTTTCCAATTGCTTCAGCAGCTGGAATCATTGTAAAACTTTCCTACTGTAAGGTATAGAATTGTTGTGCTAAAATAATCTGATCATTTTCTTCTTGAAATAGGATTTTTTTTCTAGACTCATAGAGAACATGCCATGCATATAATGACTTGCTCTTTCTGACTCTCTTAGGAATTTTGGTGTCACTTTATCACACCTCATTGCTCACTACGCTACACCTTTGGAAGAGCCTCTAAGAAACAATTGATAAGTGCAATCAATACTTTAATTGAGTGCTCTTTCTGACTCTGTTAGGAATTTTGGTGTCTCTTGACTTTATCCCACTTCATTGATCACTACGCTGCACCTTTGGACGAGCCTCTAAGTAACTCTGCTATGTCTGTTTCATTCCATTGCTATATTACCTCTGTTATTGCAGAATTTTAGTTAACTTTGATTTGGCACGATCAAGGCAAAGACATGACCTGAAGTCTTAACTGTTCCAAATGGTTACAGCTAACTCATTGATGAATTTGAATTTTTTACGTATGAAGTGTTTTAATGTCTAATTTCCAGTAATATGATATTCAAAAAGCATCATTTTTTTTATCAGTAAGGTTCTTATGGACAACAATAGTTAGGAAACTAATCAATTTAGTCAGTAGAAAAGAAGTAAGTTTTTCATGTTTGAGTTTAGATGATCACACTTTGCTAAACGTATCCAAGCAATATTTCTTAGAAAAAGTAAATGGAAAAAAGACAGCAAAGCGATCATATAAGACTGTCTAAAAGCTATCAAGTAAAACTGAGTGATGTGCGAGGAAACTAAGGATGTAAATATATTTTCGATTAGCATCAAAACAGAGCAGAAGTAAAGGGTCAAGATTAGGAAAGTAGATTAACCTTAAGAAAACGCTCTCGCCTCTTGTCCCCTACAGCAAAGTAAAACACCTGTAGTGTTTAAAACCACAAAACAACATTCAACAGAAGTTAATGATTTAAAGTAAAAAAAGGAACAGTTGAGAAGATAAAAAGGAACTGAAGACTGCATAAACTCCAATATATGTTTTCCATCACGGGTTGTTCATATAATCATGGATAAAACTTTCTACGATAGGACGTGTCACGGCCGGGATAAAACTCAGTTTGGTTACCTATTATCGGCTATCTTATTTGTTAGTGCACGTTACATGGACCAATATCATCTATCAAATGTCAATTCAGAGCTCATAAATATGTTATTTTTACATTGGATGTGAATCCATTTATGACGGTCCTTGATAAAATATATCTACTCAAAGAACTATGCAATAAGAGATTATTTAAGAATTAATGCAATGGAACAATTCTGGATGAAGTTGATTACTAAATTGCACCACGGCCAATGAGTAAATTATTGCCAGAAATTGTTTAGAGTAAAGTGGCATGGGTAATTGGTCTATTAATTTGTTCAAAATAACACTCTGTTGGCTGCTTTGTCACGGTCAAGTTAAGGTGGTCATGTCATAGTTAGTTGGATTTTTAAATAAAGATAATTTCTTAGTCTTCGGTTGCCATTGCGTTGAATTGGTTACTCTAGGAGAAAGATAATTTCTGCCTGGCAGAAACTAAAAGCTATCAAGTAAAAGTGATTGTAATGTGCGAGTTCATATAAGACCATCTAAAAGCTATCAAGTAAAACTGATCGCAATGTGCAAGGAAACTAAGGGTGTACATATATTTTCAATTAGCAGCAAAACAGAGCAAAAGCAAAGCGTCAATGTCAGGAAAGTAGATTAACCTTAAGAAAGCAGCCTCGCCTATTGTCCCCTACAGCAAAGTAAAACACCTGCAGTGTTTAAAAACCACAAAACAACATTTAAAAGAAGTGAATGATTAAAATTTAAAAAAAAACAGTCGAGAAGATAAAAAGGAACTAAAGACTGCATAAACTCCAACATATGTTTTCCATCACAGGTTGTTCATATCATCCCGGATAAAACTCTCGACTTGAGCACTATGCATACTTTGACTGAAACGACAAAACAACAACAGTGCACACATAATGACACATCATAGAAGATTTCGCAGCATTAGTGCCCAAGAAACTATTGATGATGTGCGAGCTTGGGATGGCTCATCATGGTGATGGAAAACAATACATGGAACTGGACCAGTCTAAGGGTTATCATCCTTACGATCAGAATGTGCACTGGACTCTTTGATTGTCCTGCCCTTCGTTCATGATCACAGTTCTGTTGACATTTGGCCGTAACTATTATGCAACAAAAACAGAGTAGGAACAATATTTACCTGATAATGATGTATTTCATTCAAGCACAGAAAAGAGAAACAAAGCTTTGATGGACAATAACATGTTGTTGGAGACATTTATACAGATGAGTGAAGTATCTGAAAAGTTTTGGAAGAACGGATAATTTATGTAATGGAACTTGAGCGTTGCAGAAGGGAAGGTTGAGCAGCAACTATACAACTGTTACAGCGATCGTGAGGGAAGTGGAACAGGAGGTATACGTTTCTGCAAATTAAATTAGGGCTGACAGCAAATTAAATTTATTATAAATTTACTTTATAATAAATTAATATTTAACTAATATTTTAAATAAATTAATATTTAAGTATTACTGCAGGGGTAAAATGGTAAATCAACTTTGGGGTTATGAGGTTCATGCTTATAATAATATATGATCTTTGCTTGTGTATATTCTCAAATTGTTTTACTTCTTGAGTAAATGAGACGTAAATTCTTTTTGTTTATTTTAATTTTATTATGTTTTGGTGTATAGATTTGTATGTTACATACTACTTTGAAAACTTTATGGATGTTGAGAAAGTTAATCCTCTATTGAAATATTTTAAAGTGTAGGGGTATCTTGTTAAGGTTGTGTTACATGATCCTAAGAAAAGAAAAATAATGTCTAAATTTTTAATTGTATGCTAATAAATGTTGTATATACATATTTGTGGTAATCAATTGTGATTTGATTGAATACAATGTTAGAGTTGGAAAAAATAAAATAAAGTATTGTTGAGTTTTTAAAAGTGAAAATACTTCCAATGCTCTTGTTGTTGAAAATTATATTGATTCTTGATACATTATCTTGAAAAGAGTCTTTGGTAATACATGAGAGGTACAATAAGTACAATACTAAATAAATTGAATAATTTGTTGTACAAAAAGGGTACAATATATGATGACAAAGGTAAAAGAGGTTGATACATTTTTGTGAATGCCATAATATAAAAATAATTAATTAGAATTAGTTGTTGTGGAGTTGATTGGTGATGTGACTAAGTGGTTAAGACAACTCTTAGTGTGTATTCCAATTGGAATAAAACCAACTTTTATGTGACTAAATTAGATACATGTGTTTGAGACACAATGTGATAAAAATACTACAGCGAGATGAATTATTTACGTAAATAGATAATGTGTAGTCGAAGGTGAATCTGATCAATTTACTGACTAAATGAAACATCGAGGGGAGTAAGACTTTAGTCAATTTGAGAAGATCAACGATGATGGTAACGCAACCTATGTGATTGGAGATCACATGAATTCGGTTCATATGGGTAACAATAAGTCATTAGTTGATCAAGCAAGCACTATAAAATTATGTCCCTCCTATGATATGTGAATGTAGTGCAACAGTCTACAAGGCAAAGTGAGGCTAAGTTAAGCTCTTAATCCAAGTCATATCCTTTATAGGTGGTGTATTGCTCTGCAGAATACACTTGATGATTGGACCTATATGAGTGTGAAGTGGTGCCGCTTCTATGAAATTGTGACAAATTTCTAGAGCTCTCATGAATATCAGGACACGAACATGACCTCTTAGCGCAAAACCGCAATAACGATAAAGATTGTGCGAGTATAATGTGATGAATAAGACGTGGGTCTTACAAAAGAATTATTGGTTCATAGAAGTTCTAAACTTCACCAATTATTCTGTAAGTTTAATCTTGTTTTATCTAGGTCTGGTTCATAGTCTACAGACACCAAATTTGATGCATTAGACTCATATGTGAAAATCCAACAAAACGTCTTATTTCATTCTATTTATTAATATTCTTTTTGAGATATGTAGGGGATTGTTGGAAAAATGATTTTAGTATCTCAAAAAGAAGTGTTCATATTATCTTCTACATTCATCATCTTAAATGGGTGTTAATATTCTATTAATTATCTTACAAATCAATTTTAAGGTGGGTCAAAATGTGGCAGTTGCCAACGTCTCTTTCCTCTTAATTGGTCTTCAAATTTTTTGCCCTTATTCCTAATTATTGACATTCATTCCTTTTTGTAACCGTTGGAGGCTTTAGCCTTATGTATGTTTCCATATAAATGTGGTCTTCCTCTATCACAAGGTGGTAGGAAAATATACATTTTGAGAGTAAATCTTTCCACCTATATTCTATTGGTGTGCTGAGTTTTTTTCTTTAAATCTTTGTTAGTTTCTGGCTCCTAGTTTTATACTAGAAGAGCTTGTTGAATCCTAGGGGATACACTCATACCGGGTGAAATATCCTTAAGGACAATGTCTTTCGACACGCCTCAAGCTATGAGAATTTTCAATGAGAGTTATTGGTGAAGTACAAGCTTTGATAAATTCGGTACAAGTGTTCGTGATAAAGGTATTTTCCGTAAAATTTACAAACATATCCAACATATGTTCACAATGAAAAAATCAAAGAAACACCTACTTATCCAGATGTATAATCCTTGCTTGCAGAGTATACACTCGTATGTGCATTTCTCTATGTTATAGCTATTCTCCATTCATGCGGGGGATTGTTGATCTAGTGTAAATTAAATGAGAAATTGAGGAAACACATGTTTTGGTGAAAGCATTTCTCCCTCATCGATAGTGGAAAGAGAAGTTCAAGTGTTTAAATAAAAAAACACTTTTACTTGTTAAAAAGGATTGAAAAGAGGTTCCCTCACGTCGTCGCTTGCTAGCTCGACTTTGGCTTTGAAAAATTATCAATCACTAGATTTATTTTTGGACAATTTTTTCTTTGATTATTTATTAAATTTGCCAAATATCCAATCCGAACCAGATCCGTGCGCAACCCAATGAAGTTTCTTTTACCGAGTTTCATTTAAATATCCCGCCCATTTTTCTTAGGTGACTGTTCTAAAAAGGTTGCAAACTTTCAAAAACAGTACTTTCATGGCTATAAATACATTTGATTCCTCAATTTTTTCCTTATGAATTTTTTGAACTTCAAAACTTCCTCCTTCTGTATAAATGAATATTTTTTGGGCAGTTCCCCCTTTGTTTGCAGTAAAGTATTTGGAAGCAAACAAGGCTGCAACTCTTTTTGTTAAACGTATATCACCCAATATTACCAATATGCTATGTAATCAACCTCTACCTCCTCCATGTATGTTAACAGTAGTCATGCTCAGCCACTATCTTGAACTAATGCATATTAAGCTATAATATATTACTATCCTTTTGTACCTAAAAAAAAAGAAAAGATAAGTGTCAAAATCACACCTAAATTGTACCCTTTTTTGAGTTTAATATCTAAACTATTGAGAGTGTGAGTTTCATATCTAAACTATCACTTTTTAGTTTGAGAAACACACATCTCTCTTTTATATCACTCTCATTATGGTGTGTGTAATACACTCTCTCTTTTATTTTAAAAAATTATCACATCACACTCCATATGGACAAAACATTCAACCTTGAAAAAATTAAATAAATTATTAGTATTAGTTAAAATTAAAAATTAAAAAATTATTATCCAAAAAAGATAATATTTCTTTTATAAAATAAAATGTAAAATATTTTTCTTACCTCACTCTATCACTTCCTCTCACCCTTCCCCCCCCCCCCGCCACCCCCAGCCATTTTTTTTAAGTTTCTTTTTTTGTTTAAATTTCTTATATAAAAGTATTTAATTTTTTTTACTTCATCTCCTCCCCCCACCTCAAATACTAATTTAGATATTATTTTATTTTTAAAAAAAATAATTCTACCTACCCCACCTAACCCTCCGCTTTCAATTTTTTCTCTCATTTAGTATTAGATATATACATATCGGAAATATTGTTTACTTGCTGTTCAAGACTTTTTAAATTTTTTAATTTATTTATGTTATATTCGTACACTAGTAGAAAAAAAAAATTCTAAAAATATATGTACGTACATCTAACACAAAATGAGAAAAATGTAAAATAAAAATTAGGAGCGGAGGGTTAAATAGGGTGGTGTAGAATTTTATTTTTTAAAAAAATAAAATAATATCATTTTTTAAAAAAAATAAATAAAATAATATCATTTTTTTTGGGTGGGGTGGGGGGAATGAGTGGGTGGTTTTTGTTTTTTGGGAGGGGGAGGGTGAAGTATGAATTTTTTAAAATATTTTATAATAGATTTTTTTTTTTAAAAAGGATGGGGGATTGTCGGGGGGGGGGGGGGGGGTACATGGAGGAGGTGATGGAGTGGGGTAAACGAAATCATTTAATTATTTTTTATGTATAGTAATACTTTAATCTTTAATTTTTTAATTAATATTAATAATTTATTATTTAATTTTTGTCAAGGTGGAATATCTTATCTATGTGGAATGCCATGTGTCAAGGTTTTTCAAAAAAAAAAAAAGAGTGCATTACACACACCACTGATGTGTGTTTCTCTAACTAAAAAAAATGATAGTTTAAGTATGAAACTCACACTCTCAATAGTTTATGTATGAAACTAAAAAAAAGAGATAGTTTAGGTGTGTTTTTGACATTTATCTCAATTTTTTTTAATCTTTTTTAATTTTTTTTTTTTGTGTTTTGTTGTTTGTTGAGTGGGTAAAATACAATCGAAGGGATCATTATTAACTTTGTTTTGCAAACTAAAGATGAGTCATATAATGATGTGGACCAATATAAAATTGTCATTTGTTTAGTTAAATTTCATGTCATATGTCTGCTAATTAGTGAGCATTTTTTAACCTAAAAAAAACGTTAAGAATATTTTTAAATCAATAAATAAAAAGAGGACATTTTTGAACTATTTCCAATAGGTTATGGACATTTTTGAACCTTTTCCCAAAAAATAAAGAGGGCAACTAAATAGGAAAAATATCTTGGCATGGCATTATTTTTTAAAAAAAAAAAAGTGGAAAAGAGTAAAACGGCACTGTGTCTGTACTTACACGATAAGCCTGGTGATATGCTCGAATGTTCATAACCTTAGGGATTTTACTTTACTCTCTCTCTTTACTTTTTTATTTTTAGGTACCAAAATATCTGAAAAAAAAGAAAGTAAGATTTTCCATTTTCACAAAAATTAAAGGATAAGTTGGAGGTTTTCATCATGGGGACTTACAGTTGCTTTTTTTGGTCTAAAAATGAGAGTTGAAGAGCATTTATCATATATTTAAAATTTTCTGGTTTGGATTTGCTGATTATGGCTTTGGAGTTTTCAAAGTTGTGATATAAGGAAGCAGAGATTTGGGTAATATTCTTCAACTTTGAACTTAGCTGCTCCTTAGAGTTGCCCTTTTTCACATTTTTGGTTTTTTGTAAATTATAGGTAAGAAAGAAGCACTTGTTGAATGTATTCAAGATGCTACAACAATTCTTTATCTTGGAAAATTTGTTTTTTCTCCAATGCCATTTTAGCTAATTATTGAAGATATTTTGCTGATTTGAAGATAAAAGAAAGGATTTTTATCCATAATTTGATTTTATGTGAAACAAGGAGCTGATCTACCCTTGAAGGAGTACAAAACTCTCAGATCCAACAGTTGTCTAGATTTCATGTTTTCTATTCAAGAAACAACAAATGGTAAATGAATATATTGTATTGTTGGTGTTGTATACAGACACAAACACCAAAACAACAACATTTAATCATCTATTTTATTAATGGAATTTAACTCCCACTGGAAATAGTTTATTTTTTTAATTAAATAAAATTGTCATTCTTTATTTTATTTCTTTTTGGTTGTGTAGTTATCTTCTCTCTTTTTGAGAATAGCAATAACAAAATTGCCATTCTTTAATTACACACACAAAAAAGGCTCTCCACTCTATCCTTCAAAGACTTTTCTTTTTCTTCTTCTTAGATTAGCTACCTAATTATTTAGCTTTTACTCATAAACCCCATCTGTCCAAAAGTTTATATCTAAAGCCCTATGAAAAGCTAGAGCATTTGATGCTTCTTCCTTTTCTTTTCTTTTCTTTTTTTAAAAATAAATTAATTTTGTGGGCTTGTTGATTTTTTGTGGGTATGGTTTTGACTGTTTTCCTACAGTGTAACAGGGCTGTGATGCTGAGATGACACAGGCCTTTGTTTTTGAAAGCACTGCAAAAAGAAGCCTTCTTTTCTCTCTACTTCTGACATTTGAACAAGCCCTATCTGTAGTTGAATGTGATATATCAGACCTCAAAACACACTTTTTTTTTTTTTTGACTTCTCTTTACATGTGTGTACTCATATGGATTTATCATTATAAAAGTCTTTTAAGTAGTGTGTAATCATGATTAATGCAAAGGACATCTACAGTCCTCCAAGCCCAAGAAGGTACCCCCTACACCAGCTCATAGTTTTATCTACTTGTATTTTTTTTCTCCATCTTGGAACCCTAATTCAAGTCCCAAATCCACATAGGAAAAAAATAGTATACCCTTTTGAACTCAAGAAAATTTGGGTAAACCAATAAATTTTGAAAGGTGGGTGTTTTCTTGATTTTGATTTATTTTTTTTGTTTGTTTGAGAAAGGTATGAAAGTTGTAGTATGGAGATGGAGGAGATTCAAACTGATGAGTGCAAGTTTCCAAGAATGAGCAACAAGGAGGATGAGCAGTACCAAAAATATGATGTAGATGATGTAGGAGAAGTCAAAAAGAGTAGTGGACTTGGTGGGATTGTAAAATTTTATGGTCGGCCTTCATCAAGAATTGTTAGAGTTTCTCGTGCATCTGGAGGGAAAGATAGGCATAGTAAAGTATTGACTTCAAAGGGGTTAAGAGATAGACGTGTTCGTCTTTCTGTCAATACTGCTATACAGTTCTATGATTTGCAAGACCGTCTAGGCTGTGATCAGCCCAGCAAGGCTGTCGAATGGCTGCTAAAAGCGGCCGCTCCTTCTATTGCTGAGCTTCCACCTCTTGAGGCATTTCCAGATACACTGCAGCTCAGTGATGAGAAAAGGTCAAGTGAGCCGGGTTTTGATTCAGCTGATGTGGAAATGGATGATGATCTTAATTACAATCAGCAGCAACAACCTTGTTGTAGCAATTCTGAGACTAGTAAAGGTTCTGGTTTGTCACTTTCCAGATCTGATAGTCGGCTCAAGGCACGGGAGCGAGCAAAGGAAAGGGCCACAGAGAAAGAAAAGGAAAAAGAAAACAAGTCTTGTATTGTTGCTCAACACCACCAAAACATGCACCCTAGCTCGTCTTTCACTGAGCTATTGACCGGTGGTATGAGCGATAACAACAACAGCAACACAAGTCCTAATGGCAACATTCACCAGAACACACCAAGGCAATGGTCTACAAATCCGTTGGAGTATTTTACCTCAGGATTATTAGGCCCATCAGCTACTCGTGGAATAGACAACTCTAGTGGCCAAATTTACTTGGGAAATCCTCTACAGCCATTAAGACCAGTGTCTTCACCAATGTTTAGTATTACGGGTGAGCATCGACCGGAGCTGCAGCATTTCCCATTTGGCGGTGACAACCTAGTCCCGGGCGTTACCTCCAGTAATACTAATACTAATAACGAGTACAATTTGAACTTCAGCATTTCTTCAACATCTGGTTTCAATAGGGGGACCCTTCAGTCCAATTCTTCCTCTACTTTGCCTCATTACCAGAGGTTTTCTCCCACAGACGGATCATATCTTGTTCCCACAACTGAATATGATGCTCGTTTACATCTCTTCTATGGAAATGGGTATGACCACGGCCACGGACATTCAGATCAGAAAGGAAAAGGAAAGAATTAAACTAACATCAACTTCCATGGTAAATTTTCAATTCTTTTAACTCACATTCTACATATAACCCAATTTTTACCTTCTAAAAAGGACTCCATTTTTATTACTTACTAAATGTGTTGTTTAGTAGGTTTATAGATTTCTTGGTTTCATAAAAAGTTACAATTGGGGCATGTGTTTATTTGTTTTTTATGATAAGGTGCACGGTTCCCTGGGAATGGAGTTGTCTGTTTGTTTGGTTTCCTTGTTGCTTAGCATGTTTGTAGCCATGGACAGGTGTTAATTGGCTGGGCTGAAAGGGCACTTTAACAATGGTGGAGGGGTTATAGTAGTAGTCTATAAAACTAGATACTACTTTTTTAAATCCCTATTTAATTTGTGTTTGTCTTTTTAGTTTAGTGGATAAACACCCAACACTTGTCACTTCAACGGCGCTCTTTCTCTTCCTAACTAGGGTTGGGGCTTCTCCATTTTTAGCTAGGTCAAATAAAATCTACTCTAAGTTATATTCATTAAATCAACTCAATATTTTCAAAAAATTATTTATATTATAGTTTGTACTAATTCTTTTCCTATTTTAGGATGAAAAATACATTTTAAAATTTTGGTCAAAGTTCACATGGTTTTAATTGACAACTAAAAAGTGGGGTTTCAGCTACCTCCCACTAGCACAAATAACTTATAGATAACTTGTAATTCAATCTATCAAGACTTGTAAATTCAAACCTGTAAACACATAGAGGGTGTTTGGATTGGATTATAAGTTGCTCAAATCTATTTTTAAGTCCATTTTTTTTATTTTTTCAAGTGTTTGACAAATATAGAAATAACTTAAAATATGTCAAAAATAACTTTAAATAAGTTGAAAATCACTTGAAATAAGTTGAAAACCAATTAAGTTTTGACTTTTTATTTATTTATTACTTAAAAACTACTTTTTCTAAATCAATCCAAACAGATTCATAGTTTTCAACTCATTTTGTTAACCACGAACTCATAGCCTTGAATGAGTAGGCCCTATATATTACTCTTTTTTTTTTGTTTATTTGTCTAATATTGACTTAGCACACTCCTCAAGAAATAACAAATAAAATGACAAATTTTCTATATCATTATTTGTGTATAATAAATTCAATATTTTGGAAATACAGTTAATACCAAGGATAGATTAGAAGTTAACTGATAAATTATCTCTTAATTTTCTAAATTGAATAGATAAGAGTGGATGTAAATATTAATTGAATCAATAAGAGTATATATAGATATTTTTAGTATAGTAAACAAATAAAAATAGACAAACGGAGCATGTAGTAAGATAAATTTATGGCAGCCCTTTTGCAGAGAAAACTATGATAGCTGGCTGGTAAGACAGTAAGAATTGTTTTAACGTATTAACTCTATAAGACTGTAAGAACTGTTTTTGTGTATTATACGAGTATTTGATTGCATTTGAAATATATATATAAAACAAATATTTTGATTCTTTCTGAAAAAGGGAAAGAAAATAAATATTACATACCAAAAGACTTAAGCTAAGTTGCTTAGATTTTTCAAAAATATTGTTATACCATGTTAGATTCTTTAATAATACACTATTTTTGAAGAATCCGATATACAACCATCGATATTTTTGAAGAGTTAAAGCAACGTAGATTTATAAGTGATATGATATTTATATTTATTTGTTTTTGACAAAAATGATACTTATATAAGTATATAAAAGCATGTCTTTATTAGAGGTAAAATTGAAGTTAAAGGAGTTTTTAGACATAGAAAGATACTCTACTATTCTTTGTTGGAACAGTCTAAAATACAATAATGTCAGATGAAATGAAATGTATTACAACATCACACTAAACATATGATATTATTGTAAAACGGCATCAAAGTCTGGATTTTGGTCATTACAGAGTAAAACATTAAATGTTTATTGGATGAGATATCATAAATAGAGAAAAAAAGATGTAGGTAAGGTATAATTCCAATAAATTATTTATAATGTTGGCTTGACATAATTTTAAATGATGAAATATTAATTAATGAGGATTTATTAAGGGCCTCAACTTATTTGAAACTTATGTATAGTTATTACTGTTGCTAAAATGTCCAATTAAATTCACTTATAAATGAAAAGTTGAAATAACTAATTGCAACATACAATTGTTTCTTATAAAAAATGATTACATTATTGAGGCAATGGAATATCTCAATATTTGTGTCTTTTGTTTAATATAATTAAGGGAGAGAGCTTAATGGATAGGTAGGAGAGTAGATATAGCTAGTTATTCATAAACAATGATCTAAGCTAACTAGGGAAACATTGTAATACTAATCTAGTGACATGCAAGAATAATATGTGGCAACCGTTTGGACATGAATCGATTGATATTTGAAAAAAATAGTATTTAAAGTTAAGCTAAAAAAAAATGAAAGATGTTTTGAAGATAAAATCAAGTTCATACACGATGTGAAATGAAACTGTTTAGTGTCTTTATTTTCTTGGTGCAAAGAAAACTGCATAGAGGATGAACTGATATAGATTTCTTTGGTGCTTTGGAAAACTTAAAGTTTAACCTTTACTATCTTTGTAATTTTTGGAAGTGACCAACATTCCTTAATGTTGAAGAATACAACATTATTGATTTTTTTTTATAAAAAAAAACATTTTGATACTTTTAGAATTTGATTTTTAGACTTCTAAATTTCATATTTCAATTTTGAAATAATAGATAAATTTGAAAGCAAATAGTTCGTAAAAATCTCCATTATTTGTTTTTTAAATATGTGTAGACATTCTTTTGCTTCTTGCCATTTTTCATTTTACAACCAAAATATGGAATTCTATTGAAATCTTAATTACCTCCTTTAATTTATTTTGCCTTTTGCTCTTTTCCTTGGATATCATTAAGTATGAGCATCTAGTGTCTATGGCTAGTCTAGCTATTGAAGTGTTTTAATATTGGGTCAAGTCCTTGTGATGGAACCCATTACACTTTTATTTGCACTTTACAGTATATGATAAATAAGGTCAAGGAGGGCATGGAACAAATAAATCTTGTTTCCATTCATTTTGTGGGGCCAACCCAACATTTGATTGGTTACTTTGTATCTATTTCTCATTTCAAATTCATAAACACCAAGTCTAAGAAAGTGCAGGAGATTTTAAGCTATGTTGCTTGATTTTTAAAAAAATATTATAACATTTGTGTTGGATTCTTCAAAATGATACGCACTGTTTCATTTTATGTGACATTATTTAACTTGACACGTTGTTTAAGAAAAAAATGAAGACTTTTGAAATTTAAATATTTGTGTAGTTGTAAATCATCTCATTAGGAGTAAAAGGAGAATTTTAAAATTAAATTATTTCTAATTATAATAAAGTACAATTCTTTTTGGGACGGATTAAAAAAGAAAGAGTACCATGTAAAATGGAAGAGGGAGTACTAATTTTGAAGGATCTAACATATCTCTCGACATTACTGTAGACTACTAGCAACATAAGTTTTAAGTAAGGTTTGTTAAAAAAAGTGAATTATTTCTTGAGTAGTATGTAGGGACTAGCAAGCGTGTTAAATTTTCCCTTATAATGATATGTATTGCTCTTCTCTCAAGTATTATATTCTCAACGTTAAAAATACTGTGTGATTATTATCTTAGCTTGCTCTTATTAGAGTATTTATCATGAATATTATTCCTGCATGGGATTATTATTTGCCAACACATGCTAGCTAGCATTTTCCAACTAATGATCATGGGACTCTTCAAAAATGTCGACGGGTGCGTGTCAGATCCTCCAAAATTTGTGTGTTTTTAACGGATCCGACACGGATGCGGCAACATTTTTGGAGAGCAACTTATAGATCATGTCATGAGTTGCTAATTGTTGCACTTTTCGGGATGTTGTCATGTTCTTAGTTCAAGTGACAAAGATTGAATGATTTGTTACTTAGGTCAGAGGTACGAGCAATACGGTATGCGAAACTAAATCTGATAATCAAGTGAAGAAAGATAGGACTGACCCATTATATATCCATCTTGTTTTGAACCGTGTGCTACTTGTTCTTGGTTATTACTGTAAAAAAAAAATGTGATGCCTTTATAGTACTCTGCGAGTAATGTATATTGTTACATATCACCTTTCTTTTCAACTCGCAGAGATTTTTCCAATTGTTGGAGAAAGATAAATATTGGTGAATCATAAAAGATACATCATGAGCACATTCTGCAAGTTCAACTGAATCCATCCATTCCTTTTGGCTTGACTAATGACTATGCTAAATAAAAATAAAAATTGTATCCATACATGTTTCTAGTGAAGTGTGCAGGTCAAAACCAATTTCTTGTGCATCATTGTTAAAATTCATATTTATCTTCAGATAATGAGTCGAAGTTTGTTAACATATTCAAATTTCGTTTCTGAAAACCTGTTTTTTACTGCTAACCAACCTGATATTTGTCACCCATAATTGATTCAGGCAATTGAAGATGGAAGCAGCCTCTGGAGTCCCAAAAGGAAGCTAATGATTTCCTCTGCAACAAGCTTATATATTATATGCTTCTTAATTCCTCATTCTGCGTTATTCATTTCGAGTACTATCTTATTTCTATGGGAGAAATCCCTTTGTTTGCTTCTTCTGGCCCGACTTCAGTTGGCGCACAGGTTCGAAACTCAGCAAGTTTGAGTGTGTTTTTGTGACATCTCATTTGTATTGAAGAATTTGCCCTCATATGAATTTTATGATTCTGCACTAACCATTGCTTGAGGAGGACATTATGTTAGATGGATTTTACCAAACTTGAAATGCCCCCGCATTTAGTTGTGGCATATTCAGAATTTGAAGTTTATGAGTTTCTATATCGATTTTGAGTTAACATACAATAACAGTTGTAATTATAGTCAAACACCTGCTGATGTAGTTAATTTTTAGCACATATGTAGAGTCTAGATAAAAGTTAATTGATGATGATGGATGCAAGCTAGATAAAAGCTAATGGATGATATTTCCTAGTTGACATAATATATAAATATGATCTTTAATTTGGTTTCAGCTGATAACTATGCTCTTCAACTTTTAGTGAATACAAGTAGACACTTAAATTTATATAAAATTAAATAAATAGACACACGTGTCTTACATGACGTAATACTTATTCGATGCCATGTAAGACACAAATAATTGCCATGCAGGGTGAATATGTCTATTTGTTCAATTTTATACAAATTTAATTGTCTACTTGTGTACATCCAAAACTAAAGATCATAGTTATTGCTGACGTCAAGTTAGTGATTATGTTTATGTATTATATCTTCCTACTTTGTGTTGACTTTGTTATTGGACTTTTGTAGGACTCTAAGTCAGATGCTATGTATAGTGCATCACATATCGACATATTAAGAAATTGTTTTACATGGTGTCGGAGCCTTAAGAAGCTAAAACAACTCAAAAAACTTCCAAGCATACAACTTTAACAATGGTAAGCAACTCCTCTCTTATGTTGTTTGGATTGGCTGAAAAAATAGTTTTAAAAAATTAATTTTTTAAAGTGTTGAAACTTATTTTTAAAATAAGTAGTTATTTGTTTGGATAGAAGTGTTATAGTTGAAAAAAAGTTGTTCATGTATTTGATAAGTAAGTGTTGTTAAACATTTTTATTTATCAAAATGACTGAAATACCTTTGAAGTTGTTAATATTATAAAAAAAACTAATTACTTTATAGTTTTATTTCTAAAAAAGATTAAAAGAAAATTAATTTATATTTAATTCAACGGAGAAGAGCCTAATTTGAATTGGTACAAAACTATTCTTCATTCACCTTTGGGCCCCCAAATACCCTTGACGTTAACCTTTTGGTTAAAAAATACTCTTATATCTAATGGATTATACTCATTAGGTGGATGGAGGGAAACATTATATCAAAATCATATAGTTTAAAGGCATTTTAGGCCTTTTTCCGTTAAAATAATTTGAAATTACTTAATATATAAGCCCACATGATTGACTTGATTTTGAATTTCATAGTAAATAAAAAAAAAGGTTAGGCATCTACTCTTCCATTTCTTTTTTTCTATTTGGATCTTGTCCACCATTTTAAATTTATTTATTTTTTAATTCATGACAAACAAGAGAGAAAAAAGGAGGAACATAACGATGCATTCATATAGAAATAATTAGTTCAATAAAAGATGACTTAATTAAGCAAATATGTACAAATATTACATTTTTCTTTTGTGTACCCAAAACTCAAAATAAAAGAATAAAAAAATCAGTTCTCTTATCCTCACCCTCATTCAGCCAGAACATAAACATGTGAGTTCATTTCAAGTTTGAGTCTCGGATATCCTAATTAAGAATTAGAGATTAAAAGAGGAATAAAAGAGAAAATGAACAAGATATTTGAATAAGAAAATTTTATTTAATGAAAATAATAATATTTCTTAGATGGACAATCAGTTTGAGTATGGATTTTAGTTGGATCTCCATTTATGAGTTGGGTTACGTTACAATAAATCGAGGGTTGATTTAAAATAGGTCAAAAGAAAGATATCATGAAATTAATTATTTTTTTAATATTATTTTCAAGTGTATCGTGTCAAAATATGAATCATATTCGGTATTATAAAAAAATATTTTTTAAAAAATATCATTTTTATTATATATTTGAGAAGGGTTTAAATTTGGACCAATCACATTAAGCAATATAATAAATAAATATTTAATAATTTTACTTTAAGGGAGCTATTGAAAATAAGGACAAATATGAGCCAAATGATTAACATCGAGGTATTTTTGAGCCAAAAGGTGGACATCAGGGGTATTTTAGGGCCAAAAGATGGATTGAGGCTAATTTTGTAGCAATTCAAATACTTGAAGGACATTTTAGGCCCTTCTCCGTTAATTCAATTTCAATATAAACTTATCATTTAAGTTAATTTTATATGCAACTTATTTTAAAATATATAATTTGAATCGATCACATGAAAGACTTAAGATGTATTTTTAATTACATTCATTAGTAATAATATTTGCCTATCATTCACATATTTTTTCGTCATCGCAAATTATTTATTAGAGGAATAGTAAAGAGGGACTATATATATTATTATTACCCTTTTTTGGAAGTGACACTTCTAAATGACGAACAAGGGCAATTATGTAATTTTACTAGGATACTTCTATAGGATGAACAAGGGCACATAGGTAATTTTACTAACGAACACTGCACTATTTTATTGTACAAGATGTTACATGAATTGTACTGTTTATTTAGATGAAGACACGTTTACTGACACTCTTTGACAAACCACGTGTATTTCTCAAAATAACCCCAATATTATACATCACTCTCTCTCCTTCAGTGGTACAACCCATCAAATTTATGTGGGTAAGTTTTTAATTTCTTCTGTACTTCACTTTCTTCTTCCTTCTTTATACTGTAGTACAATTCTATGGGTAATATTGTACTAGGTGCATCCCAATTCTTCCTCTGTGATATTTGCTTAAATTAATTCTTTCTACTTTCTTCTTGCTGGTCTCTTCAATTCTTTGAGATTCACTAATTAAAAGTAGTCGCAATTTAGTATGTGTATCTTAATTATTTACTCTTTTAGATATAATTTCTAGCTAAGATTTCTACATGCATATTACTAACTACTTGATTTGTACATGTATTGCGTTTCTTTGATGAATTAATTTTTATAGCCAATTAATTAGTGCAAAAGTTAGAGTACAAAAATGTAAAATATCAAGAATGCCTATGCCTTAAATTATTAAGTGAATTGTGCATCTAGGTTGTTTGATAATATGCCTCAATTAACTTAATTCAAAGTTTCCCTGGTAATTTTTGTTTTCGGGTTGCAGCAAGATAATATGTATCATCAACAGAGTAAAAAAATATTTTGGGAGAATATCAATTTATCTTATCTTGGTGATTTTGGATCTATTCTTCAAGATGTGGGGCTACTATGTTGTCTATTAGTATCATCTTCCACAAACCTGGCAAGGTATTAGCATTATTAATTATTTTTTGTGGCTATTATTTTTCTTTATTTTGGTCAACTATGTAACTTTGAGTATTACTATATTTATCAGTACTCATTTTTCTTTTTTGGCGTTTGGGTTGTTGTTTAACTTTTTCTTTAAATAGAAAATAACAAGACTGCAAGAGGTGTACAAAAATTGGTACGAACACTATCCTTAAAAAAAATTGACTGCAAGAAAGATTCAATAGAAGCTGACTTTTTACACGTCAGAAAAATCTATCGCATTAACTTGATTTTGTGCAGCACCATGGTTGATACGCTAAAAAAATTTGAGGATATTATTACAAAAAATCACTAATAATATAGAAGACTTTCACCATCCTTTTTATGTTTTTTTTTTTCTCTTTTATGGTGTGTATTTATTTTATCTTTTTACTCTCTCTAGGAATGAAATGTTACAAGTGTCTTGCAACTTTTACTTTTTTTTGCATAAAAGTTTATGGAGTATGTACTTCTCCCAAATTTCTTTTAAAAGATAATTTCTTTAAGTGAAAGGTTTCTCCCATATTATCATATTTAACAGTAAAGAGATTTCTGGACAGAATGACACTAACATAAAAGGAAGCTTTGATGACCTTGCCGGCTACTATATAGTATGAGAGTCTTCACTTGGTAATCTTCTTCTCTTCTGTATGTAAATCTCAAAAATTGTATTTGAGGTTTCTTAGAATTTTCTATATTTCTAATTTAAGAGAATGACAACGCCTTAGTCAGTTAACAAATGTTACCCCTTAAGTATAACATTTACTTGATAAAAAATTATATATTCCCCACCAAACAGTGTTTCAAAGTTTGTACAATACACTCTGAAACTTAGGTTTGAATATTTTCCACTTTGCATTGATTTAATCACTGAATATTAAAATGTATTTGAAGAAAAATATGCAATACTTGAAAGATACTATAACAAAAATAAATTTTAGCGGCAATGAATATATATATTAACAAAGAATGTTAAAGATTTTACCGGCATTAGTTAATTGCTATTGAATCCAATGTCGCTATAGGCTTTAGAGACATTTACAAAGAGTATTAATTGCCACTAAAAATACATATTTAGCTGACAGTAATTAAGCTATTGTCATTAATTAAATGTCGCTAAAAATTATTTTTGATGTAGTAAATCAATATTCTACACTTCATATTGTGAAATTGCTCAAACAGTTTCTAAGAAAGATTTTTATGGTGTCGGAACAAGATCAAAATGAATATCATTCTTTTGCTCTTTCATAAGTTTGATAATGCAAGTATTTTAAACTCTATAAAGAGTTCATCTTCTCTTATAATTTTCTTCAAAAATACTTTAGCGAAGATGAGATTCATCTCCATCACAGTGTCTTGTATAGTCCTATATTACCTTGAACTGTCGAGGCCCTTCACTGTTTGCAGTTGTAACTTAAGGGCCCTCCTAATTTCTTAAATTTTAGCATTTGAGTAGATACTTTTCTCACCTGGAAAATTCTAAATGATGGTTATGACATCTTATTATTGAAGTATATCATTATAAATAGTTGTGTGACTCTAATTCTTTAATGATACAGATTGGAGTGGAGCTTCTTATTAATTACATCAAAAGCAAAATTTTAAATTTTAAATTCAACGCAGTAGACCAAAAGTTCTTAAGCTTCTGTTGGTGTGCTTATTGTCAATGGTAGTCGTATGTGTAATATATTTTAGAGTGAAATGTTAATATAGGTAAATTGTTAAACATTTTCAAGATGTAATAATGATATTTTTCAAGTGTTTTTCAGGGTATAAGGCTTAAAATTTTCTTCTTGTGATGCACAACTC